TTTTTTCACATGGTGTTGGCTGTAGTCATTCATTGCTGTCTTCAGCTGGGTCTGAAGTACCCATGGGGCTTCACTAAACATGTCTCATGACTTGGGCTGACTTGACCTTTCTCTCTAGCAGGATAGTTTTTGTTGTTTTTTTTTAACGCTGGCTTAGGGCTCAAAGAGAGCAATAGGGGAAACTGCTAGTCCTCATAAGGGTTAGGTCTGGAACTGGAATGGGAGTCCTCTTTATCGTATTCTGTTTTGTTAAAGCTAATCAACAAAGTTAACCCTGACTCAGGAGCATGGTGGAGGCCATCTCTGGAGTCAGTCTACCACAATTCTGTTCTTTCACAGTTAGCCTTTTGAACCAAATTTAATCTTTAATCCAGTCTGTCTTGCTTTTTTGTTGTTGTTTAAATCTTATTTTTTTACCTTTATGTCATCAAAAGATTTTAAGTTTGTCATGTGTCCCTTTCTCAACTTTTTATTTTGAACAGCTTTACTGAGGTATAGTTGACACAAAGAACTGCATGTGTTATTTAATGGGTACAGAGTGATGAGTTTGCTTTTTCAACTTTTTGTAGTCAGCATTTTATCAGAAACATTCACCACTGTGTTGACACTTGGTCCTTTTGGCCTATCATTAGTAAGCAGCCTAACTTTTGCCTTTTGTTACTTGTAGGTTCAGTTCACTTGCTCAGTCGAGTCCCGACTCTTTGCAACCCCATGGACTGTGCAGCACGCCAGGCCTCCCTGTCCATCACCAACTCCTGGAGTCTACCCAAACTCATGTCCATTGAGTCAGTGATGCCATCCAACAATCTCATCCTCTGTCGTCCCCTTCTCCTACCTTTGGTCTTTCCCAGCTTCAGGGTCTTTTCAAATGAGTCAACTCTTCCTATCAGGTGGCCAAAGTATTGGAGTTTCAGCTTCAACATCAGTCCTTCCAATAAACACTCAAGACTGATCTCCTTTAGGATGGACTGGTTGAATCTCCTTGCAGTCCAAGAGACTCTCAAGAGTCTTCTCCAACAACACCACTGTTCAAAAACATCAATTCTGTGCTCAGATTTCTTTATAATCCAACTCTCACATCCACGCATGACCACTAGAAAAACCATAGCCTTGACTTGATGGACCTTTGTTGGCAAAGTAATGTCTCTGCTTTTTAATATGCTGTCTAGGTTGGTCATAACTTTTCTTCCAAGGAGTAAGTATCTTTTAATTTCATGGCTGCAGTCACCATCTGCAGTGATTTTAGAGCCCCAAAAAATAAAGTCTGCCACTGTTGGCCATGAAGTGATGGGACTGGATGCCATGGTCTTAGTTTTCTGAATGTTGAGTTTTAAACCAACTTTTTCACTTTCCTTTCACTTCATCAAGCAACTCTTTAGTTCTTCACTTTCTGCCATGAGGGTGGTGTCATCTGCATATCTGAGGTTATTGCTATTTCTCCCAGCAATCTTGATTGCAGCTTGTGCTTTATCCAGCCCAGCATTTCTCATGATGTACTCTGCATATAAGTTAAATAAGCAGGGTGACAATATACAGCTTTGACGTACTCCTTTCCCTATTTGGAACCAGTCTGTTATTCCATGTCCAGTTCTAACTGTTGCTTCCTGACCTGCATACAGGTTTCTCAAGACTCAGGTCAGATGGTCTGGTATTCCCATTAAGAATTTTCCACAGTTTATTATGATCCACACAGTCAAAGACTTTGGCATAGTCAATAAAACAAATAGATGTTTTTCTGGAACTCTCTTGCTTTTTCAGTGATCCAGCAGATGTTGGCAATTTGATCTCTGGTTCCTCTGCCTTTTCTAAAGCCTGCTTGAACATCTGGAATTTCATGATTCACGTATTGTTGAAGCTTGGCTTGGAGAGTTTTGAGCATTACTTTATTAGTGTGTGAGATAAGTGCATCAGGTTAATAAATAGCTTTAAAAAGTAGTTTTTGTTGTGATTATTTTAATCAGATGTTATGGATAAATTCAGTGTTCACCTTGGACGAAGAGGTACTTAATTGCTAATTGAAAAATTCTCAATGTGAGTTACCCTAATGTAAAACAGTAGTTTTTAGAGAGAGAGAAGCTACCACTCATGAAAGATGGGTTACAAATTCTCATGGCATTTATTGACACCCAGCCTAAGTAACTTCTCCAAGTTTGTATGCTTATTTTAAATGATTTACCCTTAACTAACTGCACATGTTTGTGCCCTTCATCTTTACAATGGGTTAGATAAAAGTCGTTGAAGAGTAGGACATGAGCAGGCTGTGTTAATCCTTAGTTTCTATAGTCCCTTCCCTGCTTGACATTTTTCCCTTGTTCTGTCTTGCTCACTGTTTTCAGTGCTTCACACAGTGACATTTATGTTTTGGAGAATAAGTCAATGTTTTAAAAAAAAAACTACGTTGAAGCAGTAAAATGTGACTTAGAAATACCTAGATAGGGAACTGATTTCATGGTTAGGCTTTTACTTGTCACTTCTTTCATTTGGAGATATTCTTCATATAATCTTAAATTTACATAAATGAGCCAAAGAGCAGTTTAATCTAGAGTTATTTGTGAATTCTGGTTAATTGCAATACACTGTTTCTTTAGTTAGACTTCATAGCATAACCTTTAGCCTAGCCAGTCAGAAGTGGAATTAATTCTTCCAGGTGTGGAGTGCCATAGTCTAAACCTAGACAGACTCCAAAGCCATGCTACATGGTCTCCTGGGTGTTCATTGGAAGGACTGATACTGAAGCTGAAACTCTAATACTTTGGCCACCTGATGGCGAAGAGCTGACTCCTTTGAAAAGACCCTGATGCTGGGAAAGATTGAGGGCAGGAGGAAAAGGAGACAACAGAGATGAGATGGTTGGATGGCATCACCGACTCAATTGACATGGGTTTGGGTCGACTCAGGGAGTTGGTGATGGACAGGGAGGCCTGGTGTGCTGCAGTTCATGGGGTCGCAAAGAGTCAGACACAACCCAGCAACTGAACTGAACTCCCATAGTTGAATGAATAATGCATTTTGTATTAAGATATAAAACTTGAAAAGGTGTGGGCATTTAATTTTAAAAACAAAATACTATACTAATTGGAATGCTCTTAACGCTGCTGAGGCAGATCCTCAAAGACCAACCCTAGTGTTCATAGTGTTCATGCCTCAAAAGACGGTGATTGTATCTAAGGGACAAAATGGCAGGAAGTTTGAATTCTGCTGAGTCTTCGGTTGCAGGCATTCCTCCTTCAGAGAAGGCAGTGGTGTTTCAAACCCAGAGGGTTACTTTATTTATAGTTTGGTTGAGGTTTCACACTTGGGTGTGTATGTGTGTATGTTCAGTTGTGTCCACCTCTTTGTGGCTCCATGGGCTGAAGTCCGCCAGGCTTCTCTATCCTTGAGGTTTTCCAGGGAAGAATACTGGAGTGGGTTGCTATTTCCTACTCCAGGGGATCTTCTCCACCCAAGGATCAAACCCTCATCTCCTGCATTGTTTGGCAGGTGCATTCTTTACCGTTAGCACCACCTAGGAAGCCTTAAAATTTAACTCAATAAAGGAATGAATGACAGAACACTTGCAGCTGAGAGATGACAGCTTGGGTGTCATGTAATAAGAATTTTGTTACCTAACCAAAGTGCTCTTCTGATTTCAGGCCAGCTAATAATCACAGGAAACATTATTTCAGGTTGAATTCTGTCATCTCCAACCTTTTTCTGTAATGCATTGCAACCTGTTCCTACTACCAACTTGGAACTAACCAGTTCATTTGAGTATACGTAGTTTTAAGTTGTAGGAAGGGGAGAGAAGCCAAATTAAAGCTTACTCACCCACCCAACATTTGGAACTTGAGAATGGGACAAACATAAAAAGTTAGAGTTACTATTTAAAAGCATTTTTCAAACTGTTTGGCATATAAGTAAGTGCTGTATAGACTAAACTACTGGACAACTACAAGAATAGAAACCAAGAATTAAATACCCTTTTTCCTTGTTAAAAAAAAGTCAAGTCTTTCCATGAGACTTGTTTGGGACTAAGCCCAGTTGAAAATTGACTTTTGATTTGTAGAGTATATTTAGTAAGAAGTGGAGAATTTTTAAAAACAGTAAACATTTTTCCTAATTCTACTAATGAAATATTACCTTTCTCTTCCTTAAAGAAAATCATTATTTTATTGTGCCTTAATCCCCCTAATACAGTGAAGTCATGTTTTTCTGAAATCATTTGTAGAATTTAATTATTAGCATGTTTGGATTTAATTAGATTGTTACAGTTTTGAACAGAATTAGGTAGGGTGAAGTTTTACTTATTGTTTGGGGTGATTGGTAAACATATATCTTATTAGCTGAGGATCACTTTAATGAACTAACTGTTTACTCTTCAGATCTTTAATTCTCATACTCCTACCAGTGTTTTAATTTAGAGAGGAAAAATAGAACTTTTACTTTGAATAGCTTTTTACCTTAGAAGGCATTACTTTAATTGTAGTCTTAAAAATGAAGTTTTGTTCTGCTTCCTCTGTCATGGACTGTGGTAGTGTCTATTATAGTAACGGTTTCTGCTTAAGTCATATACCGTCAGTCTCAAAGGTTAATTTCTACCTTCTTTCCATTTTAGTGTCATGACTACCTTGAAACTGAAAAGTTTGCCAGTTTGTTAAATATATATTAATAAAACATAATACATAATAACAAAGTTTTATCAACTTTCATGCTTTCACATTCATTGAAACATGCAGTCTTTATCAGCATGTAAATTAATAAGCACTATGATGGAAAGGCCAATATTCAAATTAGCCTTAAATAGTAAGCTGAACACTAATTTCAAATTTTAAGTATTGCTGTACAAATTGCTTCTGCTTTTAAATGACAAATTTATGACCCTACTACTTTCAAAAGTAGTAGTATTGGCAATGACTGGGTATTAAAATTTTATAAGTCAAGTTGTGTGTGTTTTGGAAATGCAGATTCTTTCAATTTTGTGAGTATTTAAGTCTTAATTGACTGTTTCTTTTCTCCCCAAGTCTCTTTTGGAAAAGTTCTTGATCCCCAATGCTTCACAAGCAGAGAGCAAAGTCTTCTATTTGAAAATGAAAGGAGACTACTACCGCTACTTGGCTGAGGTTGCCGCTGGTGATGACAAGAAAGGTATGCTGCCTCAGCCTGTTTGCTGGACGTTATAAAGTAACAGAGGCCGGAGGTGGTCTCTTCTGTAGTGTACACAATGGTTCCGTGATTTTTTAATTGCTTAGAAGGTTGGATGAAGAGCAGCAAATGGACTCTGCTCTTACTTCTTGCTGTCCTTTCTCCCTTTGCCTCTCTGTTTCTCACTCTTCCCCCAGTCCCTCTCCCTCCCTTCTTTTTTTCCTTTTTCCTGAGACTGTACAGTTGACCTTGAAGGACACAGATTGAGCTACACAGATCCATTTACACAGATTTTTTTTTCTGTAAATATTATAGTACTATGTTATACAAGGTTGGACATGAAGGGCCAGCTGTAAAATTAAACTCAGATTTTCAGCTGCATGAACAGTTGGTATCCATCCCTGAGCCCCCGGGTTGTTCAAGGGTCAGCTGTATACCTACGGCCTAATAAGTGGTTTCATAAAATGTGTGATTGCTCACAAGTCAATTTTATGTATAGGAATGTTTCCTCACAATTTTAAGACATGGTGATTACAGCATAACTGTAGAGCAGTACAGACTAATTAAAAATTATACTGAGATGGTTACAGAGTTATTTTTGTCTTGACATTGATCAGTGACTAGGGTAGGTTTCTAGGAGAAGCTAATTTTTTTAAATTTAGGAGCCAGTTAAAGTTGCTGCAGCTTAGTATTTCAGAATTTATTACTGGATGAGTAAAGGTTTGGTTTGAGGGATGAAAACAAAGTACTTTTCATTGATACATTTTGGTGCCTTTTATTATCCAGGGATTGTGGATCAGTCACAGCAAGCATACCAAGAAGCTTTTGAAATCAGCAAAAAGGAAATGCAACCAACACATCCTATCAGACTGGGTCTGGCCCTTAACTTCTCTGTGTTCTATTATGAGATTCTGAACTCCCCTGAGAAAGCCTGCTCTCTTGCAAAGACAGTATGTATTTTTTACCTGTTATGTGGAAATTCAGTAGTCGTCATTATTTGAGCACTGAAATGTGACTTTTTTTGGTCATAGGCATTTGATGAAGCCATTGCTGAACTTGATACATTAAGTGAAGAGTCATACAAAGACAGCACGCTAATAATGCAGTTACTGAGAGATAATTTGACAGTAAGTAGATAACAGCACCGTGAATGGTTAATTAATAATGAAGAGATTATAGGCCCATGTCTGTTTTATTGTACTTCCAGATATTGTAGTTTTTACAAATTGAAGACTTGTTGAAACTCTGTTGAGCAGGATTCTCTCAAAAGCATTTGCTCATCTCTTGTCTCTGGGTCACGTTTTGGTAATTTTCAGTGATTCAAACCCTCCAACAAAGATTTTAGCGGCTAAAGGCTCAATTGATGATGAACTGTTTTTTTAGCAATAAAGTATTTTTTAATGTATGTACATTGGTTTTTTAAAACACATGATACATGCTTAATAGACTGCAGTATGGTGTAAATATAAAAGATCCTATCTGCTTTAAAAACTGTAAGAAAACCATCTTACAGAAGCTGAAATAGTAGACCAAGGACTAAAAATGTGCCCTTTTACTAGTTACATATTTATTAAAATTCAGGTTTTTAAAATTTGTAATTCATGATTTTGAACTTTCAGTTATATAGGCCATTTTATTTTTTATTTCAATGCAAATAATTCTGTTCTTGCATTTTAGTCACAGGAGAGTTTTGCTTTTAGTTTCAAAAGTATGCTTAAGTTATCTTTGAAGTCCATTAAAAATGGTGACCATAAACTTGCCTATATATTCATGTAGGGCTTCTCTGGTGTGGATCAGAGGTAAAGAATCTGCCTGCCAGTGCAAGAGACTCACAGGTTCAATCCCTGGAGAAGGAAATGGCAACCTACTCCAGTATTCTTGCATGGGAAATACCATGGACAGAGGAGCCTGGTGGGCTACATTAATGGGACTGTAAAAGAGTCGGACATGACTTAGCAACTGAACAGCAAAAGTATTTATGTAGCTAGGGGTAGGGCATTAATAACTTTAGTAATAAGATTTCAGATACTCTACATAGTCTGACATGTATTTTGTCTAGTCTCTTAGGAAAAAAGAAAATGACTTACTGTGGCAGGTCATGATTACCCTTTTTTGGTATACTGTAGACTGAGGTCCCCAACCCCTGGTCCATGGACTGGTACTGGTCCGTGGCCTGTTAAGAACTGGACTGCACAGCAGGAGGTGAGTGGTGGGTGGGCAAGTGAGCGAAGCTTCATCTGTTTTTACAGCTCCATCACTTGTATTACTGCCTGAGCTCCACTTCCTGTCAGATCAGCAGTAACTTAGATTCTCATTCAGTTCAGTTCAGTTCAGCCCTCAGTCGTGTCCGACTCTTTGCGACCCCATGAACCGCGGCACACCAGGCCTCCCTGTCCATCACCAACTCCCAGAGTTCACCCAAACTCATGTCCATTGAGTCAGTGATGCCATCTAACCATCTCACCCTCTGTCGTCCCCTTCTGCCTTCAGTCTTTCCCAACACCAGGGTCTTTTCAAATGAGTCAGTTCTTCACATCAGGTGGCCAAAATATTGGAGTTTCAGCTTCAACATCAGTCCTTCCAATCAACACCCAGGACTGATCTCCTTTAGGATGGCCTGGTTGGATCTCCTTGCAGTCCAAGGGACTCTCAAGAGTCCTCTCCAACACCACGGTTCAAAAGCATCCATTCTTCTGCACTCAGCTTTCTTTATAGTCCAACTGTCACATCCATACATGACTACTAGAAAAACCATAGCCTTGACTAGACGAACTTTTGCTGACAAAGTAATGTCTCAGCTTTTTAATATGCTGTCTAGATTCTCATAGGAGCGCAATAAATGTAATACACTTAAATCTTCCCCAAAACATCTCTTGCCCCTGGTCCATGGAAAAATTGTCTTCCACTAAACTTATCCTTGGTGCTAAAAAGGTTGAGGCCTGCTGCTCTAGATTGAAAAACATTAAAACCGCAATGCCAATATCACAGTGAGAAAGTACACAGTTGATTCCTTAATAGTAAATTTCTCTCATTCAGTTATCACTTGTTTTTTTGTATTGTCTTTGTGTTGTATATTGTCTTTTTCTTCCCCCTAATATTTTTTTTTTTACTTGCATTGAGATCCAAGTAGTCTACATATTGCAGTTGGTTGATACGTCTCTTTGGGCCCATGGGTTTTCACATTCTTCACATAGATAATAAATTTGAAGTTAGGAGGCTTGAGTGAAAAAAGTGTTAAAGTATCTGTCATGTGCCAGATAAAGAGTTAGGAGTGAAGATTATAGTTTAGTGCTACTCTTTTTTTTTATTAACTTTAGGTCCTTTTCCTTTGGGGACTATACATCATTTATATACATTTCACTTTTCTCAGCTTTATTTTATCTAGTCTACTGCCAATTTTCTGAACCAATTATATATTCTAGTGTTGAATGTTCTCAGCAGTTTTTTGAACAATATTGTATACTTGTTAATTATTAAACTGAAAATTATTTTAGAAAGTGTAATTGGGGGCTTCCTATACACATGGAAGGTTATTATTTTCAACAGGGTATGGTATAGTCCATTATAAAGAGCGAATAATTTTATGTACATTTAAATGAAAGAAGCACTTCAGTTTGTTAGCTCATTTTTCATATTTTTCTGGTTTCAAATGATGAGATACTTCTAAAAGGTAGAATTTGAGATCCAGTCACTACTGAATTGTATTGTCTGCATTTTTTGAGAAGGCCTGATCTGAAATATATACTTGAAGCTGAATTTTGATATCAGTATAGCTTGAAGAGCATACTACAACAGCTGAGTAAGAAGAAAACCCAAGGTTCAGATTCTGATTTTGTCACTATTATGTGCCTTCTCTGAGCCCTGGTTGTATCGCCTGTTATCATTATAGGGTTGATCGTTCAATCACTTACATGTCAAGCAAAGAAATTTTTTGTAGAAACTAATATTTGAGTCTGTATCCAGTTGACAAATACTGTCAACACATAATCCTGAGAAGAGAAACACCTTTTATCCAGTTTTTCATGTTTATGTGGAAAATGCAAGGATCCTTGAAAGTTAGAAGTGGAAAGATAATGTTGAAGGATAATTTTATCTTGTCTTACAAGACTCCCAGTTTAATAAAAGCATACAGACTTCTAGAGATCATTCAGCTAACTGTATGGATTGTTCAAAGAGTCTCCTTTTCCAGTCCAGAAATATCTTTGATTAATAAAACTAATGGGTAATTTGGGGGATAGAAAAACATTAATAAGGTTCCCCTTCATTTTCCAGTGTGAAGCAATGTAGAATTTCAAGGTCATCTTGAAATAGTCCTTCTATAATTACCTCTGAAAATCATTGTAGGGTAGTAAGACTTAGAAAAACTGTTAATATTTGAAGCAGCTGAGATAATTTTAAAAATCATCTTTTTAACTTGATGAAAAGCTGTAACATTAACCTAAAAATCAATAGGCTTTATAGTCCTACCACTTTGAGACAGTTCAATTTTTACATCTTGTAAGATTTGGTTCTGACCATACTGTTTTGTGTTTAACTATGTATTTTGAATCAGACAAATTCATAAAAGGTATGTTTTCCTAAACTAAAAATGTTAGTAAAGTTAAACTGTACTTTAGTCCAGACTTGCTCCTGACTCTTGAATGTCATAGAGTGTGGGACTCTTTAGAATGGGCGTCTAAAGCTACGAGGTAGAAGCAGTCAGCCTGAGCTCCTTGAGCGTGGGCCGAGTTGAGGGGTCTGGTTTAGTTGCACTGAACTTACACACTGCAGCTTTTGAAGACAGTCTGTATCTGATAGCTATTGATGTTTAGAATTGGCATTTCTATGATTTCATCTACTTTTTCTTTACCTTCTATGAATAGCCAAGAATTTTCTTAATTTGATTTTGTTATTTAAAGACAACTCTGGTATGTAGTCACTGTGCTTGCAGAATGATTAGGTAGGAAATAAATGTGTTATATTGAGGTGTTTTTTAAAATTAAAAGTATAGTTGATTTATGATGTTGTGTTAATTTCTGCTGTACAGCAAAGTGATTCAGCTACACATACGTACATTCTTTTTCATATTACTTTCCATTATGGTTTAATCACAGGATATTATAGTTTCCTGGAGGTGTTTTATATCTTGAGGCTATTTTCAGTGCTGCTGTTTTTTAAGCCTTCCAATAATTGTGCTTACATTCTTATACCTTGGCGTATATAATAAAAAATTTTCAAGCTGAAATATACTAAAAATTCTCTGTTTCTCTTTTAACTAGTTGTGGACATCGGATACCCAAGGAGACGAAGCTGAAGCAGGAGAAGGAGGGGAAAATTAACCGGCCTTCCAACTTTTGTCTGCCTCATTCTAAAATTTACACAGTAGACCATTTGTCATCCATGCTGTCCCACAAATAGTTTTTTGTTTACGATTTATGACAGGTTTATGTTACTTCTATTTGAATTTCTATATTTCCCATGTGGTTTTTATGTTTAATATTAGGGGAGTAGAGCCAGTTAACATTTAGGGAGTTATCTGTTTTCATCTTGAGGTGGCCAATATGGGGATGTGGAATTTTTATACAAGTTATAAATGTTTGGCATAGTACTTTTGGTACATTGTGGCTTCACAAGGGCCAGTGTTAAAACTGCTTCCATGTCTAAGCAAAGAAAACTGCCTGCATATTGGTATGTCCTGGTGGGGAATAAAAGGGATAATTGGTTCCAGTCACAGGTGTAGTTGTGGGTACTTCTTAGGTTTGGAGCACTTACAAAGCTGTAGTAGAAATGGATATCCCATGGATATTGCATGTTAAACCATGTGTTATCTGTGGAATACTCAGATGCAGTGCGCACACTGTTGACTGCAGCTACAGAAGTGTTCCTTTAGTTGTGACCCAATTTACTCTGGATAAGGGCAGAAACGGTTCACATTCCATTATTTGTAAAGTTACCTGCTGTTTGCTTTCATTATTTTTGCTACACTCATTTTATTTGTATTTAAATGTTTTAGGCAACCTAAGAACAAATGTACAAGTAAAGATGCAGTAAAAATGAATTGCTTGATATTCATTACTTCATGTATATCAAGCACAGCAGTAAAACAAAAACCCATGTATTTAACTTTTTTTAGTTTTTTTTTTTTTTGCTTTTGTGATTTTTTTTTTTTTTTGATACTTGCCTAACATGCATGTGCTGTAAAAAATAGTTAACAGGGAAATAACTTGAGATGATGGCTAGCTTTGTTTAATG